TTAAATTACATAATCAAAAATAATTTTTTTTATTTTTTAATTCATCTTATTTATATATCATATTATTTAAATTTAAAATTTTTTATTTCTATTTAAAAATAATTACCACTATGTTACTTACCTTATTAACAACTTAAAAATTTTTATATTTTTAATTGATAACATTTTAATAACAGCATAAATCAAATTTCACCTTTCTTATACAGGCTAACAGAAAAACCATGAAAACCCATTAATTATAACCTTGGAATTGATTTGGAATGGCACGGGAAGTAAGCATTGGTTTTGGTCAAGACAAGGAAGATTAGACTATGAGAACTCTCAAAGACTTGTCCTCACAGGGTGGACAGCTGTCAGCTCTGCATTACACTGTCCCAAACTCTTTCACCATCTTTGAAGTTGTACTACCATAGCAATACTGCCATAACTACACTCCCTCTACAGGCCCCACCCGGCCACCCCCCTCGTTGTTCACTCACTGTGTACTCATCATCATCATCATCCCTACCCTCCAGTCTCCCCCCCAACAACGCCCATCCATCCATCTCCATCATACTCAATATTTAATTATTTACGTCTTCTCCAAAAAAAATTAAAAAAAAACCCAAAAGTTACATATTTTTGATTTGGAGTTTCCATATTTTTTCTCTCTAAAAAAAACATGGTACATTAAGAAAGTTTGGTACTCATCCCCATAAATAGCAAATCCCTTTATCTTGGCATGTTTGATCAAAATATGGAAGGGAACAAGAATATATTGTGCGTGGAGTTGTGACCAAATTTGATGCAGAGAAAAAAGGGGATATGGGCTCATGGCTAGGGTTGTAGGTGGAGGATTAAAGGGTAAGAAAAAGAACACCAAAGATGGTTCTTTTCTATGTTAATAAAGATCTCTCGCACACTTACTGTAGGGGAGATGGGGTGTTTCAGATTTGATCGAGACGTAGCCTTGCAAAATTTTGAGTTCCCATGTGACACAGGGAAATATTGTACTCATGCAAATGGGATTCTGATTCGTTCTGGTAATAGTCCATTCAATAAGGGCAATGCCCCACGGGTAGAAACAGGGTAACCGAGAGGGGTGTTTCCGGTGGACCAAGCAGGCTAGGCGCGGGGTCCAAAGACAAAATCAAGTGGGTCTTTGTAAGTTGTGGGGTTACAAATGCAGTCTTAGGGCTCCCAAAACTGATCTACCATAGAAAAGAGAACATTTTTCCATTTCCATGAGCTCACGTGTTCATGTGAATTCGGTGGTGCCATTTACTTTCAGTTCCAGTTCCCACCATCCAAATATACGCTAACCGTTGTATTTTTGTGCCTCTGTTTTTGCCATTTATGCCTATTCCCTCCCTCAAAATGTATAGAGCTTTTCCAGAGAAATTTTGGAGAAACCATTTCCTCTCCACCTTCAGAGCGCTGTAACAAACGGAAGGGAAAGTGGGAAAACTAATTAAGAAGATGGATAAATATAAAGTTTCCTCTGTTAACACTGCATTGTTTTGCGGATTTCTCTTGTATTTATGTAATTGTACGTGGTCAACTTGTACTTATGCCATTCGTCTAAGTAAACAGAAGCCAAAATGAAAAATGGCCGTTAGTTCTCACTGCAAGAAAAATGCACGGACTCTTCACCCAAATTAATACTCCATGGGGTCCATTCTTTTTAATTGTCGCACTTTCGTGCTTTAAATTGGTAACGTGAAAATTCCATGTGTTTCAATAAAAAAGTTACGGTTAATATAAAATTAATTGATAATAAATAAAATATTTTCTTTATTAAGTTACATTCATTTCTTGTTACAGCTGGTGATGAAAATTTATAACGTAATACATTTTTTTATGTGAAAATTTGTTATGAATGTTAAGTTTTATTGACTTAAAACTCAATGTAGATTTAATATGAATTTTAAGTGTCCATTTGGTTTAGTTGGAGTTTTTAATAGAAATTTTGTTAGAAAGAAATGATTGTAGAAATGTTATTTTTGTAAATAAAAAAAATGAAAATAAAATAAGAATAATATGTTAATTTCACTAAAATCCAAATAAAACCCTCTCGTAGAAGCATCAATTCGATATTTTTAAGATTTGCAATGAAATAAAGAAAATGTTACTTTATAAAAAGTTATAACATTTTTCATTAGTTGTAATATTTGGTACATTTTGTACTTTTAAAACTAATAACTCCTTCCTACAAGCTACATTGAACATGTTCTAAGTTTTGTCATTTTGAGTTAACAATAAGTTTGACAAAAACTAACCAATTTTAATATTATGTAAAAATTAAACGTATAAATTTTAACAAACTCTTATTGTCTAATTAAAAAAGAGAGGTTAAGATATAAATTCAACTTAAAAACTTTAACTCAAAACTTGTATATAACTTAAAATTAAATAATAATTAGTACAGCAACATAAGGATTCTTTATAAGTCACTTACGTTTTTTTTACGAGACTTTAATGTAAAATTTTACCATTTAACAAGTACAAAATTTTTTTTGAGAAATGATTAGAATTCAAAATTTTTAATCGAATCTAATCCTGGACATCTTTTCACAATTCAAATTACCGTAGCAGCGCATGACTTTGTGCAAACTAGGACAACTGATATTAATTTAGTATTCCCTCCAGTGATTTTTTGTTGTACTAATTCATTATCTTTATTTAATTTAACGTTTTCTTTTTATAGCAAATCAGCGACTATTAAAATTTTTCTTTTTCACAAACCACTACAATAACTCCCATATGAAAAGAAAAATGTGTTCAATTGTCTCACCCAATCAAATTATGTTAACATAGTACCATAACATACCCGCTTACCTTAACACCCGAGCTAAATAGAGCAATAACATGTAGACAATCAATCTCTACTCTTCTTCTTCTTCTTCTTCTTTTTCTTCTTTTTATAACTTTTATGTATTTTTTAATAAATAAATATATACAATATCATGAAACTTAATAAAATAAAGAAAATTAATTATTAAATAATATATAAAATTATATTAAAAAATTTATTATTAAAAATTACTTATATTTTTCTAACTAAATATATCAAAAAGTATCATTGCATAAACAGAAAAGCAGGGTTGTTCTTGGATACAAATGTCAGTTGCTAAACTGACACTCCAAAAGAATAATGGAAAAACAAATTATGTAGGGACTATTAGAGCGGGATTCACTCCTTCGGGAATACGTGTAAAAACACGAACATTACATGCATGCAGTCTAAAATTCAGTGTTTAAAAGGTTTGTCCACTGAGGACAATTTTATGGAGCAAAGTATCAATCTATACATATAAAAGCAATTCTAAATAAATGTATGGCATGGCAGCAGCCATGAAACATGTTCAGATGGCCAAATTATAGCATCACCAAGGCAGCCATAAGCACTAATGCACGAAGTGTAGCATCCAGCAGCAGCCATTTTTGCCTCACATCCCCCTCACTGTTTTCAGGTGCCAACAAACAAGAGCCTTTTAAATGTATCATCATCCCTACTAAGGGGATGTGCCATCAAAAGTTCCCCAGATAACAGTGTACCAAACATGCCACCATGAATAATGTAGAGGGATAAGGCATTGACCCAAAAACCAAAAACTGAAAACCATACATACACCCATAATAAATCCGTGCTACTAGATAAGTCTGAAAGTTCAAATTCTCTCTTTTCTCTTTTGGATTTACTTCTAAGACTAACCTTTTTTCCCCTGTTTTTTTACTCAAAAGTTGTTTCCTAATTTGCACCCAAGACTATGCAATAGCAAGATAATCGGCAGTTGTCAAAATAATCTGTTCCATTTCCCACGAATGTTAGATGGAACGCGTGCACTGAAGCACATCAATCTAACTTGAAGTTCTCGCTGGAATACCTTAAGCATTGTCAGCCATGCCCTCACTGCTGGACGGTAACAGATTATTCAAGTCTCCAGATGACGACCTACCTGCTAATGACTCAGCATGAACATTTTCTTGATTCATTGAACCACCCTGGTTAGTAGCATTCTGATCCAGTGAAATATTTTGGATGCTGGCTGTCAGCATATCCGGGCTGGAGTTCCCCCCAGACCGAGGACTTGAAATATTTGTAAACTGAACAGCAGATGGTGGCATTATCCATTTCTGCCAATCATTCCGCCTCCTTAATTTGTCACCCTAAAGAATATGAGGAAAGAAAATCAACACCGTGAAGCTAAACATATCAAGTTCAATGTACGGATATATTCTTTGTACAAATTGAACTAATGCTGTAGGAAAAGGGAAAAGACAACCAGGTGTAGGAGGCAGTATGGAAGAAGCCAAATGCCGAAGGAGTACATATGAAATGGGGAAACAAAATTACCCAGAACTAAACAGGGCATGAAAAATAATCCTCGATTTTATTCGGTAAGATACCTGCACTTCCACAACTTTTGAACACTGCACAGCAGCCAATATAAGCTGAATATCTTCTGTCAAATGCAAAACCTGAAAAAGAAGCCACAGAAGCAGTTGTACAGATAGCTTGAAAAAAAATGTAATGGTACAAATATTGACTGAAAACATCAAGGACAAAGACATACATCCCAGAATCTGAGGAGGACAGAAACGTAACAGGTAGAATTCAGAGCAAGCAATAACTTTACACATCCACCCAAGAACCATCATATAGCAATAACATAATGAGCTCTAACCAACTATCAGAGAAAAAGAGATTATGTAAAAGCAATGACAAAGACAGGAGAAAGATGTATCCCATTTTTCTTCTGAATCAGAAGCAACAGGTTTAGAGCAACATTTCCAGAGAAACTGCCAAAACCTCCTAAAAACCAGTAAACCGAGTTGACTTAAACGTGCTCTGCTACTTTGTTTCAAAACAACTTCACTCATTGGTTCATAACTTCATATGATTACAGAACATCATAGCACTGAAATTGAAAGATACCAATTTGAACAAACAGAGCAAGCAATAAAAATTGGTAATAGTTGTAAGCATATTTAAAATAATTAGGAGAATTTGTATGCCTGCTGACAAAACAGATTATATAGTCCCTCAGAAATGAGATATATAAAGCCAATGAAAGAAATCAGCATTTGGAAACTTAAAAAGAGACAGTTGATCAACCAATTACAAAGTATAACTGGATCTATTCATTACCCAAATTTCTCATGCTAAGGAAAAATAAAATGACAAACACTACTCAAATATGTCAAGTTCAACCACTAATTTTACAAAATACAGAGTTCCCTTCTGAGAAATGAAAAAAACAACACATATATAAATCTTTACATGTATGCTAAATGATGAATGTCCAAATTTTATGTGATCATCAGAAAATGAAAACCACAATTATCACTTTTAGAAGCAAGAAACCACATATCCTTAGCCCACATGGAATAAAAGGGTATCAAAGTATATCAACATTTACTTTCACGGTATAGCCTAATAACTGAAAAGAAAAGGCCTTCCATTAAATATCACAACTATTGAGTTTTTATGTTCTAAAGAATAAGACGAGAGAAAGAAAGTGGGAAACTTCGCACAAGCAAGGCTTCACAAAAGTCACTCTTAGCTAACCTTTTGATCATCCACATTGTTCAGACATGTACAACAAAGGCATGATAGAATCAGAAAATTAGTAAAGGCATTAAGTTGATTGAAAAGCACAACACACCCCTAAATTTGATAGCTTAGCCATCCAAAAATTAAAATGAGATCACATCCACAAAAGAGAAGTACAACCAAAATTTCTCATACCTTTATTAACTAGATTTGCTAGTTAGAGTATAAAAAGAAAAACTTTAAAATCCACATTCTCATGACACCTGACTCTTTAAGACCAAACAAAATACCTCATAAGGTCAATTAACATCAAACTTTTGCATTTACTTCAACTAAAATTGGGGATTGAAAAGGCAAGGCAGCATAACAAAGGCACGCCTTTTGTGTGCCTTGATAATTGGTGAAAGGTGCACCTAGGCATGCCTTCTGTATGTCTTTTTGTTTCCTCTAATCCTCTTTAATTTTGGTTAATTTCTTTGTTAGATTTAATATCATATGTCTGATTTGAAGAAAAAAAAGATTAAAAAAATTAGACATTAAACCTTTTTGGTCTAAAGTACAAGGAGTCCCATTTCATGGACTGACTAGTTCTTTAACAGTCCCATTTAATTGAAATATTTTATGTTGCTTTAGGACCTTATGCTTGCTTATGATGTCTTATGTTATGGTACACTCTACTTTTATACATATTGACATATTTTCGATAATGAGACTAAATTAAATAAAATAATCAAAACAAACTTGCATTAATCATGCCAACAAAAATGAATGTACAGTTAATGATACCCTACTCACACTTTCACAATATAGAGTGGATGCCTCTGGCAGGCATTGAGCATAAGATAAGTCGGAAGAATAATTCTCATAATCATGGATAATGTACATGTGCAGAAGATATACATGAAAATAAAACTCCACAAACAACTTACCTTTTTGAAGCCTGCTATTAATTTAATGGAAACCCAACCATGGACATCCATGTTTTGCCGCAAGAATGTATCTTTAATCAAATTTTCATTACTGCAATAATCAAATATGAGATTAAACTGGAGTTAAGTTCTCTAAGTGACTAAAAATATGATGACAAGTCTAAAGAATAAGCATTTAAGGGATAGTTCACCTGAAGTAATAATCTATCTGACTCACTATCTTAGCATGCAACTGCAAGTCCGGTGGGTGCAAAAAGAATGATGGCACGGGTGCAATAAAAGGCACACCTCTCAGTGAATCTGGATGAGCTTGAATCGGAACATAATAGATGCTAGATGAAAATTCTGGAAAGAGGTAGAGATATTACAGCAATATCAGAACTCAAATTCAAATAAAAAGAAAGTTATAAATTCACCTTACCAGGAAAACCTATGGGGGTGCCGAAAGGCTGTGATGGGGGATGTGCCATATATTGTGGAGTGGTAGGCAGTGCAGGTGGAGGTGGTGGTCCATGCCTAAACCTTGGGACACCCCTTTGAGGCTGCAGATGAGCATCTCTACCATGAAAATTTCGATGATTGTTCCAATCTTGATTTACATGGTCCTGATTACGCCTGCGTCCATAATTCTGAGTATGAGAACCATCTCCACGGGGATGGGGACCACCATTGCGATTTCGGTTTGAATTGCGATGCTGAGGGTGATCATTACCACTATGAGATTGTGATATAAACCCAGTCCTCTGTGCATGGTCCCTAGAAGGACTATTCAAAGGTGCTTCAACTGCTGATCCAGGTGATGGTGGTGGCGGCGGCTGAGAGAGACTGCCATTAGATGATGCACCACCACGCTTCATTGACCTCAGGCGTACTGGCATTGTATGGTTTAGAGTTGAATTTGAGTTTGCATTGTTGCTAGCAAGCTTCTGTGAAGAAAAAGATGCATTTCCAGTCCCCTACAGCACAAAAAAAAGGCGAAGGAAACCATTAAAAATGGACAATCTAATAACCAACAGTAAGAAAAATAAAATACATGCATTGATGTGCACATTAGGCATAAGACAATAACATCACTTGCACCACCACACATCCATGTACAATATTCATACATCAACAACCATTAGAATCAATCATTTACCATTCAATTTAAGATACGTAAGATTTAATCCATGTATATTGTACGTGCAAAATTTTAAGCTGATTAAAATTATCAATTGCATCACTTCCATAATAATTTAAACCCAGATAAATAGCCAAAAAAGCTCAAAATTTGAATTTTCATAACTCTTTCAATTGTGGCAATCAATCCATCCTACTCCAGCCTCAAAACATACATACATTAATGATGAGCCTTACTTTTGTTCTTCGGCTTTAAACCATGACTACCTTCAACCACAAAATCAAATTAGGATTCCTTACATTGCATTTATGATCTAGGTGGCTCAAGTTTCCTGCTTTCTTCTTTTACACTTCCACGGCACACAAACATACAAGAATATTCTTGCTCACGGAGCAATACAAACTACAATAATATTGGAATTCTAAAAATCTAGAAATTCAACCGAAAGCTGGCCACTTTAAGGAGACCCAACCTGTGAAACAACCGAGGAGGATGAGGATGAGGGTGAGGATGATCCATCAGACAAAATTTTCAGCGAATCTGAGGGGGGTTTGGAAGAAACCCTAGCGGACTCGGACAAAGCGGGCCATTGACCTCCCATGACTGACCCAACCCCAGCAGCTCCATTAGAAGGCCTACTCCACACTGGCTTCTTACCAGCATTGCCGTTGGTCCCGCTCCCGTTCTCCACACCCTCCCCCTCCACTGCCTGAACAGGTTGTGCAATCACAGCCGTTGATGGCGATGACGGTGACGGCAAGGAAGAACCCGCCGCGATCAACTCCGATTCTCTCAGGACGATTTGCGTCCGCGCTGAAGAAATTGGTTTCGCTTGATTACCCACAACAGTTCCAGTGGAAGAATTGCTGTTAGCGTTATTGGTATTCGCAGCCATACCAGTTAATTAAAAAAACAAAATTAGGGTTTGCGATGATTTCGGGAATCGAAGATAGAAACCCAAATTTAAAAAAAAAAAAAAGAGAAATAATTTGGATTAAAAAAAAAAAAAATTGGTTGGGGCGAGGTATTGCGCAGTGAATGAGGAGGTGAATCAGGGTTTTACAATGCAAAATTAGGGTTTCCGAAAAGGAAAAGAATGGAAGATCAGATCGACGGCGGTGGCGAAGAGAGATGAAGGTGCGGCAGAGAAGAGCGACGGTGGCCTTT